GATTTGTTAATTTTTAATTTGTCAATAAGGCCTAGAGCTTCATCATTTATCACTAGTATTTGCCTCCCACGCTTCCTTCCTATAAATGTCAGTCCAGGCACAGAAAGACAGACACAAATAATCACCACCCTCTGTAGGGACTTTCTGTCCATGGCTGTCAAACCAGCATACCACACTGTAATACAGTATGAGAGAACGCTTTCTATTGTGGACCGATAGAAGGAAATCATCAGTTGCTGTCTAACATTGTTTTTTCGCAAGACCCTAAGGAAATGAAGTCTCTGTTGGGCCTTCCTAATCACCTGGGCTGTATTGACCTTCCAAGTAAGGTCTTCACTAAGATGGACTCCCAGGAATTTAAAGGAAGAGACTCTCTCCACACAGCCACCCCGATATACAACGGGGCTAGCTCCCCTCTCTTCCTCCAAAAGTCCAACACCATCTCCTTTGTCTTGCCAATGTTTAGGTGCAGATTGTTCTCTGAGCACCATGTGGATACCTTTTGAACCTCCCCCCTGTACGCAGATTCATCTCCAAATGTCTTGAGCAAGACATTCCCTTTCTAGCATTGTAAGTGGCATACAGTGTGGTTGTCTGAGTAATGTTTGGCCTTACCTAGATATCCTCACATTTTCAAATGAAAGCAATGATGTAATAAAGACAAATCCAGAACAGTGCACTGTCATATAATTCAGTGCAAGTAAAATGAGCTCTTACATAGTGGTGTTTCTTCTCAAAATACTGTATCCCGTTATTATATAGCTACATATATACCAAATTTGATCTCAGATAGCAAGTTTACCAAGCTCAGCATAGGATATATAAAGTATGGAACAGTAAAACAATTTTATTTTTATTTTTTTAAAATGAACTATTTTCAGGAATTGGCACCAGATGCATCATGGCCCTGTCCTACCTTGGTTCCCACACCATGTTAGATCTTCTGGTAAATTTTATTTTCTATGCTGACCTGATAAAACATTCATCTCTGGCACTAATATTGTAGCTATAACAGGTGCAATTTATTATTAACCCCCCCCCAAAAATACCTGTTTTTCAAGATTGTAAATCAATGAGAGTAAATAACTATTTCCATGCATTGTTTGGGAATTGGAGAGACACTTTGCAGTTAATGAAACCTGCACCTGCATTTCCCTATTTTTTGTTTGTTGTGTTAAATTTTAACAAAATATGTGTGTTCAGAAACTGCCTTGTTTTCATTGGCTGATTTTCTGGTCTGCTTATAAAACTTTGTTTCACCAAGTAAATAGTGGGAAATATGGGTATTAATGACAAAACCAGTATGGAAAAGTAGGTTGAAACAGATGGAGAAAATTAGTAGTAGATTCTCTTATGCTCTTGAAGTAATTATATTGTGTTGAAAGTGCAGCTGCTACAGAAGTGTCATTTCATTAAAGCTCTGTATTATTTATTTAGCACATTCTAAGCTGATTATGTATACTAAGGTTTAGGCACTTTCTTAGTCATTTGGGAAAACAAGAAAACTTTGACACTCTGTCCAATACATTTGATGCACCACTTTCCTTGCCTTTGTGCAATAATTCTTGTAGCACAAGCATAAATACTCTACCTTTCATTTTGCAAATGATCTCCTCAGGGAAACAGCAACAAATCATCTAATCCAGGCATCCCCAAACTCGGCCCTCCAGATGTTTTGGGGCTACAACTCCCATCATCCCTAGCTAACAGGACCAGTGGTCAGGGGTGATGGGAATTGTAGTCCCAAAACATCTGGAGGGCCAAGTTTAGGGGGTGCCTTATCTAATAAGTGGTATATGTGCAATTCAGACTTCTGGGGTGCCCATGGTTCAGTTAAAGCTCAGAGGACATTGTGAGGTAAATTTTCCCATAGGGCCTTTTCAGATTAGAGAGCACAAGGAGCCGAGGAGGCTGCAGAGTGCTGGATAATGTAAAGAAAAACACAAATATCACCCTTGGGTAGCTTGCAATGTTAAGGTAAGCTCAAACCCCCACACTCACCAATATGTTAAATAAATTCTTAAGTGGCCTGAAAATGAACAGAAAAATGGAAGCCTGCTTTGCAGAGGAAGAAAGCTTTGGAGAAATCAGAGGATTGATCTCAGCACAGCACTGGTTTCTAGATAAACAATATTCATTCATTCATTTTCATTTTTAGATTGCCCATTGACTAAAGCCCTCCCCCCTTCCTCTCTCACACAAAGGGTATTTCTAGACTATCACTATTTTGGGGTGTGATTCAATCACATACTGAAGAATCAAGTTGCATAATTAAAATTGATTTGTCATTCTTGCTCAACAAACTTGCTTCTCTCCAAAATTGGACTTTTTGAAATAAGGAACATGACAGGAAAGTTCAAAGAAAGTATGGAATAATAATTGTTTGATGCACTGTTGCATAACCTCACTGTGACCAAATGAGAATGAATGTTTAATAAATAGCCAATGCCACCTAACGTTCCACAAACTTTCTGCAAACAAATCAAGATGAATATTCAATAAATAGGTCCCCTGGAAGCGACTATATATATTTATAGAAAAACTAATAGTCAAAGTAACTCTTCAAATTTTTCTGAACAGAGAAAATAAAACCCAAACCAGTCTGACAAAGTTTTCATAAAGTTCAAGCATAAAAGACCTTCCCAAGTTTCTTTTTAACAGCTTTTATAGGACAGCCATAGGCATGAAGTCTCATTTTGATCAGTGAAGCTTGCCCTGTACTGTATGTGCATAGGATTTCATTTTCAGACCCTTGAATTTAAGCTGTAAAGCTTGCTTTGTTCTTCTGGAATGATTCACGGAGACAAGTAAACATCCTAAACTGTGTTAGGAAAGCAATCTGACCCAAATACCACCTTTGTCACCTTTTATGAAAATCTGATAGAAATTACAGAGATAAAAATGAGGGACTTCCGGGTTAGCGCCTCCGGCAATGGCGGATTTCCTCTGATCGGGAGGAATCCACTTCGTGAGAACTAGGGTCTGGACCGGCGAGGCGGAGACCCACTAAAAACCACAGGCGGGAGAAGCCTGTGGACGTGGGATTCGGCTGGCACCTTTTGCGCCTCCCCTACTCGCGGGGAAACCCGGTTTCGGGGATCCGGAGCGACGTGGGGTGAATGGCGCGGTGCTTCGAATCGACTGCTTTTTTCACGGAGCGAAGCTTCATTGCTGTTGCCGTAGAGCGCTGACCTTTTCCTGTGGACAATTGGATTTTAAACAACTACTCGTGAGTAAATCGGAAAATTGGGTTTTTAAATACTTTAATTTGGCACTGAAGCAGGAGGTCATAAACAGGAAGTCCGCCTTCCGTTTTTGTAAATAGACTGAAGCAAAGACATTACAAGTTAAAGTCTTTGAAAGCTTTTGGCAAAGGATTAAATTTCCATCGGTTTAAAATACAAAACCCCCCTTGGAAGCAGGAGAAGAGGGGGAAATTTTGGATCTAGTGAGCCTGCAGGAGAGAGTGAAAAATCATATTACCACTGCTCTGAACCTGGGAACGGGCTGCCAGATGACGTTTGGAGAGAGTGCATTTGACAGAACGGATTTGACAGCTAGCTAAATAAGAGTAAGATACTGTTTCCATTGTCCTCCTCTGCATTTAAAAAGAGGAAAAGTAACTGAAAATTTATCTTTACTGCTTGAGTTGTGCCTGAAAGAACTGATCCAAGTGGAGACTGTTTCCCTCTAGAGGGAGCTTTTGAAACTGTTACAGGAGTGTAACTGGGGGATTTCCAGCTGCAGATAAGGATTCTGAGAACCAGAGAGTGACCTTGGACCATTTAAAAGTGTTGACAGGAGAGGCCATTGTGACTGTTTTATGTAAGATAAGCTGCTCGTTGGGACAGCTTCACAAGAAGATGGATGACATGACTTTTAAAGTTGATAATTTGGAACAGAAAGTGACTAATTTGAGTCAAAAAGTGAACACCAACACAGAAATAATTCAGGACTTGGTACAGGAATCCATTTTGGCAGGACAAATGGTGGAGGAGAAGGAGGAGAAGGAGAATGCTGCTGTTGTTGAACATAAAGTAATACAAGTGAGATCCGTGGCTTTACAGAAGAAAATTGAGGACTATAAGTTGAGGCCTTTTATGATTGAATCTAGGAAAAGTCAGACTCTGAGGAATGGATCCCGGCTTGGACTAAAGAAGGAAAGTTGGAAAGATCCCTCTATGCAGGGATTAACTGACTTTTGGGACATGGACTTGGGCCTGGAGGAGATTGAAGTTTTGGGGGCCTTTGGACTTGGAGGAATCTTGAAATATGCCCTGAAATACTTTATGGACTGTAGCTTTAACTATGGAAATTTGGCTGATCTGTTCAGAAGGAAGAAAAGGATTGACAGGTTGGAGTTTCCCGAGATTTGCTCTTTAGCATTAAAGAAAATGAAGAAGACCTGCAGAAGGGACTTGGAAAAGAGTTAAGAGCCTCGGACATAAGATCACCAGGTTGATGGACTTTATGGAGTTGACGGAAAGGACTGGCAGAATCCGAAACCAGGGAGAGGAGATGGTGGAAGAAGATTGGAAAATTTAAAGTTTATATATAGACTTATGGTAAAACTAATGAGTGATATGGGCTTAGCAGAAATGTTATAAGGAGTTAAGCATATATAAGTATTTTAGTTTTAATGGAAAATAAGGTTAAAAAATACGTTATTTACAATATGATAGAAAATGGAGAAAGATGGAAAGGATTTGCTGAAACAATTAATAGAAGTGGAATACAAAAAGGGAGGTGAGAGGAGGTTGAGGAAACAAGGGAATGAAAGATAGAGTACAGAAAAGAGATGGTGTATGTTTTTAAATTGTTTTTGTTTTGTTTCATTTAGGGTTAAGGTTAGGGAGTGGGGTTTGTTTAGTTTAGTTTAATGTGTTTAGTTTTGAGTTTAGGTTGTGTTTTGCATTGTTTATATATTGTATTGTATTGTTTTTTTCTTTTTGCTTTCCTCCTTTGTCTTTTTTTCTGTTTTTTTCCTTTTTTCTCTTTTTGTAATCTATAAAAGTAATAAATATTATTTTTTTAAAAAAGAAATTACAGAGATAAAAATCAAGGGCTCACCTGTTGCGGCTTGCAAGTGTTTCATTTTCGGAGCACATGTTCACGGTGCTAATCAGGTACCAATGGGATTAAACTCATCCATCTGACTGACAACACCTTACTTTTATGTTCTCCCCACCACCACCAAGGTAATAAATCCTATCTTATAATCAATATGGCATATATCCAGGCACCTTCTGCATATGATGTTCTGATACATCTCTGATATGAATACATCCTTTGTTAGACAAGATAAATTGTTTTTATATGCGAAAACGGCAGCAAGAGTATTACTGGCACAGAAATGGAAGCAGGAAAAACTGGATAAGATGACAGTGAGAATTCGAAACTGGCAGGACCAGAAATTCTTGAAAGATTGGAGTAAATATGCAAACTATTTGAAAAACAATTGTAATCAATTGACTACGCTTGTAGGATTACAAGAAGTTTTGTAGGGAGAACTATATGAAATATTGCAGGGGAAATTTATGAGAATGGATTTTAAGTTATGGACTATTAAAAGTAATAGTGAAAATAATGAAATGCAAGGCTACGTGATGAAGGTTGAAAATCATTAGATGTGGTTGATGGAAGTCCTAGGCTTATAGCCAAAATGTTGTATAAGATGAGAGGAGATGTTATGTTTTGTTTGGAAAATATATATAAAAACTAATAAAAATATATTTTTAAAAAAGAGTACATACTTTGTTTACCATGTGAAGGTTACTGAATATTTCACAAACGTGTCTGAGTTCTTTTGGTGGGGCAAACTCTGTCAAAAAGACTAGGAATAAATGCCACTCACACTGAAGCATACGATTAATATATTAATGAACTCAATAGATACAAAATAGGCAAATGCTATCTTTTGTAGACCATCATCTGTTGGTGTAGAAGTAGGCAAGCTTTGAAAACTGATGTAAGGTATACTGGAGGTATACTCACTTCCTGTAGCATCTGAGGCTGTGCTCTTCACATTAGAATTTACAATCTGTCCTCCTTTTCGTACCCAGTTACTTGGTACTGCCAGCTCTTGAGCAGAAACCTCTTATCCTTTTGTTTCCCACCATTTACCTTATAATTAATGTCTATAGGGAGCAGAGGTTGCTGCAGATTGGTGGGAAAGGAGTCTTCCACAAGAATGGGGCAATTCATAGAGTAGTAACCAGATATCTAGTTGGTTATGACTCAGGATGCCATATAGGAAAGGCAGAGCAAACATAGGAAGCTACCTTAAACTGAATCAGACCATCGATCCATCTGATTAACTACGAGTGACACTGGCAGCAGCTCTCCTGGCCAGACAGAAGTCTTTCCCAGCCCAGTCTGGAAATACCAGGGATTGAACCTTGGAACTTCTGCCTATGAATGTATACTGAACCACTGAACTGCAGTCTTTCCTCATCCTTCCTCTCTCTTTCTCTGCCCTCACCCCATCTTTCAGATGACGCGTTATTTCAAATCACCGGGATTGGAAGTAATCTATCTGCTGCCTTTTAAAGAGCAAGCAGAAGCTTATCTCTGATCTTAGCCATAACTTGAATTTTCCCATGCCTGACATCATATGGATAGGTTGGTTTTCTGGCCCCTCTGTCAGTCATGGTGTCACTTTGGACTGCCTTGAATGAATGTGAATTGAGCGCACAATATTAGCATGACTTTGTTCATTCCTGAAAGATAAGCCCTAGAAGTGGTGTAGGGGCACTGCTTTTCTTTGCTGTGGTTGGTAGTCTGTTGGGATTCCACAAGCATCCACCTGTAGATAATATCCAGGCACAAAACATTTTACACTTTGGGTCTTAGTAAGAAATACCTATTGCAAATGTTTCCCTGCTGTTGGTACTTTTAAATTTGTTCCTTCCATCTATGCCACACTAGGATAAAAAGAAGCGTCTTAGTTTGAATAAAACAAATAGTACGTATAGCCCACTACCGTCAACAATGACAGAGAGCAGTTTTCCAGAGTCTTGGACAGAGGTCTTTTAGAGCCATGCTATTTGAGAACTTTAAACAGAAGATGCCAGGAAATGAACCTGCAAATCATGTGCTCTGCCATAGAGCTTCATTGGTCCTTGAAACATTAGAAGCAAGCCACCTCTCCCCCCACCCGCTATTCTACCTCATTTCACTTGAAAATGCTTGTGTTTCCTCAAGCTTTCTTGACATCATGACCAAATTATTGGTTTTCAGGAAACACAGTGATACTTTTCCTAAACAGATGAGGTAGGCAAACCCATTTTATATCCTTAAGAGAAGTTTTTGTTTGGAAAAAAATATATTAAGTATCAGAGTTGTCTGCTATGCTGGATGCCTTGTAGAGGTTGGCTGACTTCTTTACAATACCTTTTAAACCCTTTTCCTGATCTCACAATGTGAATGCTACTATAGAAATAAATTTTGTTTTGGTTGGTTTATCCCCAGATTTGTTCTTTGTATTAAATTACCTGTTTCCTTTATTTTCTGGCACAGAACCTTGGAATAGTAGGTACTGCAAAGTCATTTAGTTGCTTCTTGTCACATTTTGCAGTAATATTTTCCTCGGCTCTTTCATAGCCCATATGGGTGTCTCAGACAACTTTACATCATTACTTGTATTATTACTTAAGGTTAAACTTCATGTCTTTTGTATTTTTTTTATTTGTCGACAAATAATATTTGTTTAAACTATTAATTCAGCATGATAATCATGCTTCCATCTTAGCATACCACATGGAGTTTTCCAACAGGATTTGACATGTTCTAGTGCAGGGGTCTGCAACCTTTAAGACAAAAAGAGCCACTTGGACCCGTTTCCGAAGAAAAAAAAACTGGGAGCCGCAAAACTCGTCATTATAAAAATAACTTTTTTGTCACTTTTTTATTATTTCTTTGTTTGACCCCTCAGAATTACTCCTCCTCATAGAAATAAATGTTAAATTAACAAGTTACCTTTTTTTGTGTATGTGTTCTTCACTCCCCTTCAAAACAGTGACCAGCGTACATGCCCCTTACAATGTAGCGGGCGGGCGGGAAGGTGACGTCGGGACGGTGCGTGACTAACGCACGCACCGTCACCATGCGACGTCACAGCCAGTACAGCGCCCGCCACAGTGGGGAGTGTCGGGGCGCACAATGCGCCTCCTCCCCTCACTAGTATCCGCTCCGGAGCTGCGGCAAAGGTGTAAAAGAGCCACATGCGGCTCCGGAGCCGCGGGTTGCAGACCCCTGTTCTAGTGTGTTAAAATAATGAAGTTTTAATTTACTTCAGTTGGGGGCAGGAATTGCTATTACAAATATATCTATTACATTTTAAAGTCCCATTGTTTCCAATGGGATGGTAAAACAACATGAAAACCTGAAAAAGCAAGAAAGCAAAAGTATATCACACATGGATGAAGGAAACCAAGGGCATTCTTCCACACTTTATATATATATATGTTAAGGTAATCACTTTAAGGTTATTGTATATCAAATCTTATTTGAAATGTGAGAACTGGTCACCTAGAGAACTTGAATTTGTGATTTTTGCTTATAGCCTAGGCAAAAATGTAGTAATGACCATCCAAAGAACTGAACAGGGTGGATTTATTTTTAGTTGCATATCAGTTGATAATGATTACAATGTATTACTTTATAACTGTCAGACAAAACACTACATGTGGTTTAACTTAGTGTCCTCCTGAAGAAAGATTAGTCCAAAGGGCATATCTCATCATTTATTTCAAGGACCATAAGTCTTCTCTTGTCATGTAAGTCATCACTTTTTGTTCCCAAGGTGAGAAGGGAGTTGTCCAAAGGAATCTTGACTTCTCACACTAACAATGGTCCACTGTGTGCCATGGGATGATTTGAGATGGGCAGCAGAAGAAAGCATTTGTACTCTGTTTAACACACTTTCCTGAAATGAAGGTTAACTCTTGTCTCACAAATTTAAAACCAATGACACATCTTGTCAATGAATGACAACGTTACTTTTCAGATCAGAAAAAGCAGAAGTGACGTGGTGTTTGGAATACATTGCCAAATGAAATCTGATGAGTGAAAACGGCTTTACCTGGGAGGTTTGAATCACAGTATAACAAAATCTTGATACAAGAAACACCTGGACTGTTTTTCAGGTGGTGTGTGTGCATGTGTGAATCCATTTATACATGAGTTGGTTTCCCAGAGGAATCTAAATTATAGTAAGTGGTGTCAAAGTTGAAAATGAAATCAGATGAACTGCTCATAGCGCCAAAGTGTTAAGAAAGGGAAGATGAATGGCTTCTCAACATGTACAGAAGGGCTTGGAAATGCTTACATCTCACATGGAGGAGGCAGCACTCCGATTCACAAAAAAGGTCTTTGCTCAACATGACAGAGTACTAGGAAAAGCTTGAGTAGCTACTTTAGTAGTTGCATCTGTTCACTTAGTTTGTATGCCAATTTTTCGATGTTTGTGCAACATGCAAGTGTTTGCTGAAAGAGGATTGTCATCATAATGACTAATTGTGGGTGCTTTGTCTACATTTCTGCACCGGTAAAGTGCTATCTTCAAAACATTTTAGCTATAAAAACGTTTACTGTATCTTCAGTGCGTGTCTTTAATGATCTTAGGGGAAAATAAGTCCAAAGTTAATGGATACTCATTTTGGGGGCTTTCTTAATCATGGTTTTAAATCTTTCTTTAGTTCCTTTACTGAAATTATCAAGATGCTGTAAAGTTTCATGCACCCTGGGTGAGGAATGTAGAAAACGTTTACCATATGTTGAACATTTTAAGATGCTTGTGATATCATCCTGTATGAACATGTTTAAAATGGATTCCAGATACTGTATTATGCTGCACAATCCAACTTTTGCTATGGAACAATATTTGTGTTCATGTACTGGATACATAGAAGTTATTTAAAATACCCAAACTTAGACAGAGAAGGCATGAACCATCAGGTCAACCGAGTTCTGGGCATCATTTAAGTCAATAAAATTTTGTTGCCATGCTGTATACTTAAGTCACTTATTTTAACAAGGAGGTTTGTCGTCCATTAAAGTAATCTGCCACAAGGAAAGCCACTAATTCTTAACTTTTTAAATTAAATCTACAAAACGTCCCCCAATTTCCTCTTAAGAGTGAACTGTGGGCCTAGATAAGCAAAGGTTAGCATCATTCCAGCACACAAAATTATCTTCTTTTGCATCTGTGTATGTATGCATGTCTAGTCAAAATATTTGAATATCCACCTTCAGTCAAGGTTTCATTTATTGGTAAGTGAAAAGCTTACATTGTGAGTGTTAGATGGTCCCAGTAGCAGCTTGTGGGGCTATGTTGCTGACCTGGCTTCCCAACACCATGCTGTCAGTTACCTAGAGAAGGAGGGACAAGGCAGTGGCAGAGCCAATACAACAGCACTGTACCAGCACTGAGGTCCCTACTGCCTTGCCACTTCCCCTCTCTCTCTCAGTAATTAGCAGCAATGCATGGTGTTGGGAAGCCAGGTTAGCAGCACAGCCCTTCTATTGCCCTCATGTCCTGCTTATGGGCTTCCCATAGGTAGTTGGTCGGCCTCTGTAGTAAACAGGTTACTGGACTGGAAAGGCTCTTAGTCTGTTCTAGAAGGACTTTTCTTCCATACCTGAAGCACCTTGGGTGGCAACTTGCTCAAGAACACCCAATCAGCTACAAGCACTGAGCTAGGTTAAAATTTAAGTTTCAGAGGTTCAAATATACTCCAGTTATTATATCGTTCAGGTTTATATCAGCCAGCCTTCCTCAACCTCGGCCCTCCAGATGTTTTGAGACTACAATTCCCATCATCCCTGCCTACTGGTCCTGCTAGCTAGGGATCATGGGAGTTGTAGGCCAAAAACACCTGGAGGGCTGAGGTTGAGGAAGCCTGGTTTAAGCCATTTACAGTCTTCTCCACACATTGTCATCCCACCACTAATCCCCTGGCTTTGAGCTTTCTTCCCCTGGGGATTCCCTTGGGGATTCCCCAGCTGATGCCTCCCATCACTCCTCTGCCAGTCCATAACAGGGAAATACAAAATAAGTAGGACTTATGTTTTATCATCTGGGAAAGAATGTCTCTCTCCACTTCTTTAAATGCTTTGTCATTCTTAATTTACATGCCATTGCATTGCTGAGAGACAAGTGAGGCATGGAGTGAGGACTGATAGAGGATATAAGCTCAATTGCACCAATTGTAAAAAATCAAAATGTGTTGCTTTTGTCCTTGCACAGATTGTGAGAGCCCTCTGAACAGCTAGAACACGGAGCATTAAAAATTCTCTCCGTCTTCTGCAATTGCTTCTCTACCTCTCAACCCACCTGCCTTGCTGATCAGAGGTGGCAAGAGGAGGTGCAGTGAGATATCTTTCTAGGAAAAAAAGACTTTCCTGGTTTCTAGTGACAATGCTATCCGACCTGAAACAAGAAAAATGTTCTATTTTTTTTTAACCTCTTGGTCAATCCCCTCAAGGAAGCCTCCTGTTTAGAAATGATTGCATGCTTCAGGGCTAGCTGATTGGTAGCTGATGGTTAGTTGACTGCTAATAAATGAATATAACAGGTCTATCTTGTCATACTGTGCAATAAATGCTGGCCGTAAATTTATCAATCTGCCTAAAACAGGCATAGGCAAACTTGGCCCTCCAGATGTTTTTGGGACTACAGTTCCCATCATCCCTGACCACTGGTCATGTTAGCTAGGGATGATGGGAGTTGTAGTCCAAAAACATCTCGATGGCTAAGTTTGCCTATGCCTGGCCTAAAAGAAACTGAGCGATGTTAAAATGATGTAAAAGATGGTAAAATAGAGCAGCAATTTGGCTAATTGTAACATAAACTGGGCCTCTTAATTGGATCTTTATATTAATGTCACTAAACATAATAATGATCATCATTTCAGTAGCATACTGTTAGAGCAATGTTAATTGCGATAAAGGGAAGCTGGGAAAATCTTCATTTCTTAGGAAAGACTGTTGATTGTATAAAGGTACCTATAAACATGCTGATGATCAAGGTTAATGAGACAAATTTGGGGTTTGTAGAAGAACAAAATTTATATTTAAAACTTAGAATGGCAAAAATGCAGACTCAGCATCTTTCAGCACAGGGCAAGGGAGGGAAGAGGAGAAGTGTAACACAAGGGCCTTTTAGCTGTTTAGTGAAAGGTTACAAAAGTGTGAGACACTTAAAGTGGGGGGGGGTAGGGGGAGAGGAAGCTCCCTGGGCTTTTAGAGATCCTTGAACAGCTTACTAGGGGAGTCTGCTGAAAAGAATAATAAGGCAAGTTAAGCAAAATGGTACCAGATGTGGCTGCAATGCCAACAATTAGCTAGAAATGTAAACATACATAAAGAGTCAGTAATAAAGTTGTTACAGCTGTAATATTTGGAATCATAAGAAAAAAATAAGAGTTTTTTTTATTTAGCTAGAGATAAAGCAAAGTTGGGCTCATATGGTAGCCTGAGCATCCACTACCCACTCTTTGCATGTAATATTCCACGTAAATTAAATAATTTATCACTGCTAAAAGCATTTTTTAAGGCAAGTGAAAGCAATAATTGTCATAGGTTTTCACATGTGATGAATTTGCCTACTTTCAAAGGTGCTGTGTTTCAGGAATTTATGTCAAACATATAAACAAGCATGTCTTCAGTGACTCGTAAATTCATGATAATTCTGCTATACAAATGTTACCCCATGTAAAGTTTTTATTTTCTGGCTTTCCCTTAATATAGTCCTAATTTACATTTAATTGGCTATCTATTTTGTGAGCAAGTCTGAGTCTAACAAACATTGCATCCTGTTAAACTTCTGCCTGTTGAACTAAATAATAGAATTGTAGGAGTAGAATTGCAGAGTTGGAAGGGACCCTGAGGATCATCTAGTCCAAGCCACTGCAATGCAGGAATAAGCTGCTGTCCCACGTGGGGATTGAACCTGCAACCTTGGCATTATTGGTACCATGATCTAACCAACTGAGCGTAATGAATTAAAATGGAAATCCAAGCAGTTTTAAATTGGGTTTTTATTTATATTTCCAAAACACTTTTATACAGACCAAAATAAGGCCTCAAAGCAAGCGGATGAATGAAGGAGGAAGAACAATTTGGGGGAGTGGGTGGAGGCCCAAGAATGAGTTTTCTGTGGCAGCTCTCGATTCTGGATTTCCCTTCCCATAGGTATATCTTCTGTGATCTGGTCTCTATTTTAAATTGTTCTTATGGAGTTGTATTAAGTCCTGATTTTAAAATATGACATGAGAAATGTCTTGCTTCAAGTAATGCCTTGGGGGCAGTTCTGGATCCATACTGTCCCTGAAGGCTCATGAGGCCTTGGTGGCATGGAACGCCCTCCATCAACTTCAACTGGTGGCCCAACTGCACCCCTATCTGGACAGGGACAGTCTTTACTTCCATTGTCTGTGCTCTGGTAACCTATAGGTAGAACTACTTTCATGTGGTATATGTTGGCCATAAACTGCAGATGGTGCAGAATTTGGCAGCTAGATTGTTGTCCAGGGCATGGTGGTCTGAACATATAACCCAAATTCTGGCATAACTGCACTGGTTACCAACTAGTTGCTAATTAGTTTCATGGCTCAGTTCAAAGTGTAGATTTGGACCTAAAGAGCCTTATATGGTTCAGGACCTCAAGGACTGCTTCTTCTCATGTGGACCAACCCAGACTCTGTGGTCATCATCAAAACAGGGCTACAAGTGAATTGTGTGTTCCTGGAGCTCCAACCTGACGTGCAAAGTCCATCTAGACCCCGCAGATAATCATGGACACAAGAGCAAAGCCTGTTTGGAGACACAGAGACGAGGCTTCTGCAATCAAGGCCACTAGATGCATTCACTGCTCAGGAGAATTTGAAATGGCTACAGAGAAACCACAGCCTTGACACAAGTGTTGACATCTAGGCGAGGAAAGCATTTGCAAGCTTTTCGTGTTGAAAAATGAGAACACTCCTCAACTGATCCCACAGATTCTGTCTTCAGCATAATTCTTTAGGTTACCCCTTCATGGCAGGTTCATAATGTGGCCACATGAGATCAGGCCTTTTCCGTTGTGGCAGTGAAAAACACACACACACACACACACACACACACACACACACACACCACTTGTGGAATAATCGCCCTAGAAAGGCACATCCAGCACCATCTTTTATCTGTCTATAGGCGCCAGGCAAATACTTTTCTCTTTAAGGCTTTTGGACCTTAATATGAAGGGTAGCATTGTATTCTGTCTTAGTGGAGTAGAATTTGTTACTCCTGAATTTTAATGGTATATTTGCGTTTTTAGGATTTTTTTTTAATTGGTCCTAATTGTTTGTAACGTAAGTCACTTTGGATCACTCTGTGAGAAAAGTAATTAGCAAATATATTTTAAAAATGATAATCATTGTTTTGCTGTACCCAGAACTGTGCTCTAGCTGGGAAATAATGATATATAAAGTGCTCTATCTAGAGGGCACATATAAGCTTACAGTCTATTAGCATATAACTGCCGAAATGGCTCACTTCAAACAAAGGGATAAAAATACCCTGAATCCCCGCTTTCAAGTAAATGGGGAGCGTTGAATGTAGCAGGGGTAAGGGGAGAGTGCGTTTGGCAAATGAACACGTTGTTAAATCTAGTAGAGACACTGCTTTGGTTTTGCCTGCTGTGTTCTCACAAGAGCTATAACTTCATAAAATAAACATTTCTACCAAGCTTGGTATACAACAGAAGAGCTCTTTATGAGGTGAGTAGAGTTGGAGGTTGTATCCCCACAAGTGCAGCGGAAGCATCGCTTTAAATGGTGGCAGCAAGCCCAAAGCAGGCTGGATAGGGTAAGGGTTATTAAATAAAGGTTACTTCCTTACCATACCAATTGTGAATGCTGAGCAACCCTTTTTCAGATAACAGGGTAACACCTGCAGGAGTGGTTCCCTCAACCGATGTGCTAAAACTGTTTTTGGATAATTAATGATATATACAGGATTCTTATGAACCTCTGGGTGCAAGCCATAAAAGCTGTGTGCAAGCCTGAGCAATCTCTGGAAGGAGTCTCCCTCTGCCTGATAAAGTAATAGTTTGTTGCTCCATGGGTTTTTATTGTGCATCGTAATAGTTTCCCCTGATATCCCCCCTGAGTTATTGGCTTCTGGCGTCCTGAGAAACAAAGCCACACAGGCAGAGGGGCTTTATTTAAAACAACGATTAAGAGGAGTCTATGGGATGTTTGAGGGAGAAGCCCAGAGTTTTATCTCACAGTGCACACTGGACCAAGGGACACAGACGGCAAAGGAGCTGCTGCAGTGACCTGCAACACCTGTGCCATGTTTGTCTTCCTGTCTGAGAGTGTGCAAAACTACATTCTTATGAAGAGGGAAGAGATGTGCAAATCTTTTGCGCTTCCTGTCTCAGTTCTTTGCCATCCACTTCAGTTTTCTTCTTGACATGGGAGTAGTTCGCACATTTCTGTTTAGTAACATGCACATATACAGATTTTCTGTTTTGGACATACGTAATGAAGAAGTATAGAAGGGACGCAGGTGGCGCTGTGGGTTAAACCACAGAGCCTAGGACTTGCCGATCAGAAGGTCAGCGGTTCAAATCCCCGCGACAGGGTGAGCTCCTGTTGCTCGGTCCCTGCTCCTGCCAACCTAGCAGTTCGAAAGCACGTCAAAGTGCAAGTAGATAAATAGGTACCGCTCTGGCGGGAAGGTAAATGGCGTTTCCGTGCACTGCTCTGGTTTGCCAGAAGTGGTTTAGTCATGCTGGCCACATGACCCGGAAGCTGTACGCCGGCCCTCGGCCAATAAAGCGAGATTAGCGCCGCAACCCCAGAGTTGGTCACGACTGGACCTAATGGTCAGGGGTCCCTTTACCTTTTTAATGAAGAAGTATAGAAAAAGTATTCTTCTGCCCCATCACACACAAAGTAACTGAATTTCATTAAATGCGGTATTAGGGTGATTATTATTTTTTTAACAAGGAAACATCAGTGCTGGTAATATATGGTCCAAAGGAAAATTAGCTAGGAATCTGTTATACTGGGAAGGGGAGAGATATTTCCTCTCCAGCTGACACTTTGACTATGTACAGAACTTCCTAGTATTGGATTTTAAATAAAAGTTTGCAACCTGGTTTTATTGTCAAGTGTAAAAATGTCTTTTACAGTTATTCTGGGGGCAAGCATACAACTTCTTTTAAACTACACCTTTTAATGTTTCTTGTGTACATTTCGTTGCTGTAAAATGGTGTAACTGAAAGCATCAGTTTGATCATATAAAAGCAAATGTGGGTGTTTGGGGATGAGTTATATGTCTTCTGTGGCATGAATAAATAGCATGCAGCTTGATTATCTGAGAATTTCTTCCATTCAAGTTTCCAGACCTTAGCACCACAATTCTGAAATCTGTACCTCTTTAGTAACATTAAGAGGATAACTGTGTGAAATATAATTAGTGGCTCATGCCCTTAGGAGGACCAGAAGGAGGCTAATATGCTGCTATAGAAATGAACAATGCGGTGCCTGATTCTTTGAATCAAAACTTATTTGAATTGAGTCACCACAACAGAGAACCTAGCCCAGCTGAATCCTGTCATGCTACTAGTGCAGGGGAAGGGGGCAAAGTACCCTTACTGTGATGCAAGCAAAAAACAGCTCAAATGACTTTTATCCTGAGCTGCCTAGTGGGGATGGATATATTACACAACCATACAAAATCTTAGCACAGTTGAATAATAAAATATGTTTTAATGAAACAGTTCACCTGTGAGCACACTCTTTTTCCCCTGGATGTCACTGTTGCTCCATGTAAATGAAGGGGAAATAACATTCATCTGGCTAGATTCATTCATGTGAATGCTCCCCTCTCTGTGACTCTTTAAATCATGCCCAACATTTAATTCAACTGTTCTTTGCAGTAATTCTTAAGCAATTTTAAGATTGCACAGGAGCACAAATACCTGATTTGACAGAACATTCAAAGTGTTCGTTCTACAGGAACTGAGAACAAGTGCCATGAAATACATAGCATATATTTTAATATTGTTTTTAATCCTGCAACTTTCATAACCTTTGTATGCAGCCCATAGGGGGGAAATAACACGAAAATAAACTTCGGAGATTTCATGATATGCCTGCTGTAGCTTGCATGGCAGTACTTTTTTACATTGACTTGAATCAGAGGTGGAATTTCAACTGTGAGATCACAGTGACTGTTTTAGGACAACGATTGGGGATGCTAAATCAGATGTATACTTTCAACTGTAAACATTATAAACTGCTGCCAACTGGAAGTGAATGTTAGGGTAGAATATGAGGTTCCCTAATATAAGAGTCTGAAATAAGATTGTGATATTCAGAATAGCAGCTGGAGGCTACTTGTGTGACTGTGCTTCATTTCAGCTTTTTCGAATACTTCCATACTTCAGTTAACAATCCTAGAAAACCATGTGTTGTGTTGATGTTAGCTGGATTACTGACATGTAAAAGCTGAGTTGCAAGCTTGTTTTACTTTGATGCCAGAGGGTAGGCGAACAGCTCTACAGAGAGCCTACTGATATAATGAAATAATTACAAAATCTAAGGCTATTATCCAATTACTTTGACATTTAGCTGTTCTTCGCAGCTAATGGGATTAAGCTCATTATAAAGAGATTAAATGTAGAATAAAAGCTAGGCATAGCAAAGTAAGAATTAAGCATGCAATCTGGGAAAGTTTATAGGAATTTCACCATTGTGGCACTTGGGAGATAATGTAAAACAGTTGGATTTGGTTCTTTAAATTTTTGGAAAAAATCATGTGCATCATTCATTATTTTAAGAAAGTCAGTGTTTCATTCCTTTGGGTTTAGTTTGTAGCAAAGTGCTTTGGCTACTAAATAAGTGATCTGTAAGATACAGAAACAGCTGTTTATTTAAAATGTAATATTTATTACTCTATTATATTCCATTTTTATATTCCATTTTTAAATTTTCCATCATTTAAATCACAGGGTGATTAACACTATATATGTTAAAACAATAAAACTGCAGTTACCAAAGAATAAAACCATTAATAAACAATAATTAAACAAGTAATAAACCTTAAACAACATATGGCTACAGCAGCAACTGTCATCATTTCCTCCAAAGGTCTGGCTGAAAAAGTAGGTAACTGGTTTCGATGTTCAGTTTGTTTTCCTTAGTATGGCGGGTGGGGGAAATTCAATGCCAGGCAACACACCAGTAATATTTTAATTGCAAAGCAAACAAAACATATTGTATTGTTCAACTCACACAAATCCTTTTAAAAAATGAATCAGAACAATTTCTCTTTCTCCACCAGAGTAGTTTTCTTAATTCCCTTTATGTAGGAATTCATGAGGCTTACTTAGATAAGCAATATGCTGCTTACTGTTTGCTGTGTTGCTTTATTTATTTATTTAGCCTTTAGCAGTGTGATGGAAACATTAGACAAACAAGCCTTTCCCAGCATGGAGATGCAGTTGTATTTATGCCTCATTCTGGTTGTTGAAAGCACGGGAACCCTGTCAAACAGCAAGGCTGCAACCTCCATGGTTGGTTTACATGATCAGTTAATTATATCTGTTGCTACATTGTAATCATACATTTTCTTTTTACTGCCTCTAGACTTATGTAATAAGAGATTTGTCTCACAGTGTGGGATGTTTAGCATTTTGTCCATTGGCTCAAATGCTTGGAGCTGTGTTTGAGCTTGGTGCCTTGGAATAGATGAAGCAATTATATAAAGGGCATTTATAGATTGCTTTTCCCTTGTCCCTAAGTAACCACAATTAACCCTCGTACAATTTTGAATTAGGGGTACAGAATTCTAGGTCAGAACACATAGTTTTCAGACGGGCTTAAGCACTTCATTTTGCAAATGAAGCACTGCAGACACAGGGATGAACTTAAACAGCAGATTGCACACTTGCAGGGACCATAGGGTTGATTCAGCGGCCACAAACTCACAGATCTAGGGAGACAGATTTACTTCCTTCTACAGCTGTTTATACAATCCAGAATCATATCCTTGTATGTTGTACCCAGAAACAGCCAGGAATGCCAATGAGCTGGAGGTCGAAATGGTTGAACCTTACCCTGATCCATTAGCCCTAGTCCATGAGGATATAATTTAGACAGTTATATAACCACTTGACATCAGATCAAGCATATCAGAGAGTGATAATACTGAAGTTGTAGCAGAGACTTCAGAATCCCCAGTTGTGGAATACCTTCATGTTATTAACAGGCCTGCATTAAAGACCCATATTGAGGAAAAGGTTTCAATTGCAGAGAAGGTACAAATGTTTCTTTCTCATGTTTGCCATATGTAAAGTAAGGTGGACTTTTTTCATGAGTCAGTGCTCTGTGAAAATGTGTAATGATTTGAGGCGGTATAGCAGCTACCTTATCACAGTAAGGTAGCTGCTATACCTTACCACATTAATGTGCTATACCTTACCACATTAGAAAGCACTCACATGTGAAAATCACCATTAGATGTTGAAGAAGGACTGCAGCTTAGTGGTAGAGTGCACTCTTTGCATGCAAAAGGTATCAGGTTCAATCCACAACATCTTCAAGTAGGACTTTAAAAAAAACCCTGCTTGTAATCTTGGAGAGCTACTGTCAGCCAGTATAAGTAGACAAGAGGTGGGCTAGGTATGGAATTCTAGGTCAGAACATACAGTTTTCAGACAGGCTTAAGCACTTCATTTTACAAATAAAGCACTGCAGACATGGGATGAACTTGCTTTTGGGGACATTATGTCATGAGAGTATGAGAAACTGAAGCAGTGAAATTTAAACACTGCTCAAACAAGTTCAGAAGCAAAGTTGTACTGGTTGTAAGAAAGATTTGCGGGCCTGTGTTTTGTTGTTGCGGTTTTCCTTTGGTAGTGTTTCATTTTCCTGCAGTTTGTAATTGTTTCCAGCTACAAGCTAGATTCCAGTGCAATGCTGCCTTTCTTTTCACAGTACAGTGGTACCTCTAGTTACGAACTTAATTCGTTCCAGAGGTCCGTTCTTAACCTGAAACAATTCTTAACTAGAGGCGTGCTTTCGCTAATGGGGCCTCTTGCTGCCACTGCGCCGCCGGCATACGATTTCCGTTCTCATCCTGCGGCAAAGTTCTCAACTTGAGGTAACTCTTCCAGGTTAGCGGAGTTTGTAACCTGAAGCGTTTGTAACCTGAGGCGCTTGTAACTTGAGGTACCACTGTACAGTACTTCTGATTACCCCTGTGACATTGGAGGATATTGCCTAGTATTGGAAGACACAAGATTTACCCACCCGGGAAGAATGGCAGATGAAGTTGATGGACTATATGGAACTGGCGGAGATGACTGGCAGAATCCGAGACCAGGGAGAAGAGTCGGTGGAAGAAGACTGGAAAAAGTTTAAAGACTACTTACAGAAACACTGTAAAATTAATGAATGTTAGAAAAATGTTGGAATGAAGTTATATGGTTTTAGTAGAAATGTTATAAGGATTAAGTATAAATAGATTAATAGAGTATTAAAGGGAAAAATAAGGTTAGAATCTGTTAAGATAATTAAAAGATAGAAAGCAGAGGAAGATGGAAAGGAATTGCTGAAACAATTAACAGAAGTGGAATACAAAAAGGGAGGTGTGAGGAGGTCACTGAAATTAGTGAATGAAAGATAAGATATGGAAAGTGTTTGATTTTTTTTAAATTGTTTTTGTTCTGTTAGTTTAGTGTGTTGTGTAGTGTTTTTCTATTGTGTTATTCTTTTTTCTTTTTATTTTTGTGTGTGTTTGAATTGTTGGAAAAGTAATAAATATTATTTAAAAAAAAAAAAGACATTGGAGGATATTGCCTTGCCATTTATAGTGAATTCTGAATTATAACCACCAGGGACTGACTACTGTACCTCACAACATGTATTATTCCGTGTGATCATCATGTAATAAATTAAACCATTACAGGACATGATAATTAAATGTTAATAACAATTTTTAAAAATTAGAGCAGAATAATTGCATTAACTAATTTAGGAATAGTACGGGTTAAGAACGTGAGAATTCAGGTTTTAATTAAGCTGAAAGTTGCAATTTGAGTTCATGAATTCCTTAAATGAGAGAAAATATATAAATTTAATTTTATAAATAAAAACATTTCAGATATACGAGAATCAAATCTTATTACTTATCTCTCCGTGCTTACACTCTATCTCAAGGGGTACAGGTTTGTTAAAGTACCTTTTCATTTGAACCTCCCCAACAAACTTTCTAATCACAACATGTTAAGCAGATAAGCATAATGGTTCATGTTACCATGTGATTAATATGGATCTGTATTGCCTCAGTGTAATATTACTTCTGTCAAAGAGTGAGAGTTTTATAGCTTTTTTAAAGAGTTATAATTAATTGCCTGCGTTTAGCACTTCTGTTGTCCTCAGTTTTTGAAGCATTTTACTAGGTAAGGCTGAAAGGTAGATGATTTACCTAAGATTATAGTGAAAGCCATTTAGATAACTGGGAATAAAAATCATGTTCTTTTTTTGATATGGTATTCATTTGGCTTCGGCCTTAATTTTCTCACAGTGCACATTTCTTTTGACTATACCCCACTCATATCCCATATAACATATAGTAGAATGTGGGAAAGTGAGTAGTTTGTTATATACAAATTGTGGGTAAACATTGCCTCTTATCAGATCATGGGGGGGAAAGGACATTAAATTTGGTCCCCTCGGCAGGTTGTACCTGAGAATTAAATATTATATTATTTTTAAAGATTTATAAGTTGCTCACATTATGATATAAAAGAATAGTGTATAGGAAAGCAAAAATAACTGCAAAAATATACACCAAAAATAACACAACACCAGAAGACAATCAGCAGGTGGTAATTGGAAATTTCATTCAGAAAATGTTTGGGTTGGAAAAAAAAGATTGTAAACATGCAACTTAACAATTAGATTGTTAGAACATACCTAATCTCAAGTGGTAAAAAATTCACATTAAAGAGGCCACAATTGCTAATAGGCAAATTGGAATCAATATTTGTTATTTTAATGGGGTTTGTAAAAACCGCAGTTAGCTAATAGGTTAACAGTATGCTCATTTCCCAGATGTATGTGCTCCCTCCTGCTTCCCCTAATACTGCTCTTCATGTCCCTCTTCATCCCACCTTATTGCTTTCTTTAAATCAGCTAATTATACGGACAGGTAAGAGAGAGAGAGAGAGAGGAAGGAAGGAAAGAAAGAAGGAAAGAAGAATCAAAGAAGGGTTCTAGGACTTGGCATGCCTTTAGAAACAGCTCATGCACTCCCCATGCACATTTGATGGGTTACCCTCCATGGTTCTGTGTATACATCAGTATGATAAAGAAACTCCTAAACTGCAGCAAGGTGGAAATTCAAAAGCCCTCAAGTATTGGAAGTCAGAGGGAAACTTTTAAAACTGTTAGGACATTTGCTTGCTTTTTCGTTGCTTTGGGGTGATTGTGTTCGCTATCTGAATAACACATGGTAGATAGATAGATAGGTAGGTGGGTAGATTAGATAGATAGATAGATAGATAGATAGATATAATTCCATTTGAACCTTGAGTTTAAACTGCTGTTGGAAGCAATCTGAATCAATATGTTAAATATTTTCCATCAAGACAGCTCTATAGTCTGACAGAATTGCTTATTAATTCCTTAGAAATAACATTCAAAATATCAAATTATTTTAAAATGTCATGTGGAATATTTTCCAGACTCCATGTACATTTGTTGTTGAATTCACTGCTAATTTTGTGTGATTGTGCGAAGTGGCCGTGATCTTTCAGTGTAACTGAGGAGATGATTTACTTAAATCAAAGAAAGCAGGTCAGAGTTTAGCAATTCATTTGGTTGGATGTGCTGCTAAGGTTCTGGGTTGATGCCCTTTCTGTGTGCATATAATAATATAATATAAGCTAGCCTTATATTTAATTAACCTGGATGCCTAGATGCATGCTAATGTTTATTTTGTAGTTGATTCTTACCCTACCACTGAAGCACAAAAGGACAAAAATGAAAAGTTTTGAAAATAGCCTTTTAAAAAATGGAGCAAAATAGAACTCCTTAATCCAGCAAAACTTAACCTCTTGTTACAGCTTTTATTCTTTTTTCATAGTGTATTTGTAGAGTACAGAATTGATTTGCAGGACTTAGACAAATTAGATGCTGGCAAGATGCTACTGGAATTAAAGGCATATACTTCCAAGTAAATGTGTTCTGGGTGATATTGATAGTCAAACATGAAAAGAGCTGTCTTTTTACAATAGCTTTGCCAAAAGAACGTTTCTTCTGTGTTCAGAAGCTCGATACAGAAATTTTACTTTTGTTCTTAAATGATTGCACTGTATTAATAACATATTTCTGGTCTTCTAAAGGATAGCCTCTCTTGACAATCATGCCGACAGAAATACTGGTAACTCTTTATATAAAAAGTGCATGGAAAATCCTGTTTAAAATGATGGTCTGTTAGAGCATGTAGGCATATATACTGTAAAAAGTTTTCTCATCCAGAATTTTTCAAACTGGAGCCAGTTTTTGCTATTCTCCTTACATTTAGGGCTCAATTTTAGCTAAAAGAAACTGCTATATAGAAAATAAATACCTTAGCATAATTACTTTAAAATAATATTTACAAGTAAGGGTTCATATTATTTTAGAAGAAACTTTATGCCTGTTGATCCAAAGAAACAATACACAAGTGTGGGGAGAAACTGTGGATGCATTCACAGTTTGCTTTTTACCCAGTACAGTGGTACCTCTGGTTATGAACTTAATTTGTTCCGGAGGTCTGTTCTTAACCTGAAACCGTTCTTAACCTGAGGTACCACTTTAGCTAATGGGGCTTCCCGCTGCCACCGCGCAGCTGCACGGTTTCTGTTCTCATCCTGAGGTTAAGTTCTTAACCCGAGGTACTACTTCTGGGTTAGCGGAGTCTGTAACCCGAAGTGTCTGTAACCCGAGGTGTTTGTAAGCTGAGGTACCACTGTAGAGCTTTTAAACTGAAGCATGTCTCACACGAGTTTGGCAGCATATGAGTTGGCCATGTTTTGGGTTGAATCAGTGCTTTTTTCCTGGGGGTACGCATGCCCCTAAACATTTTGTGAATCTAAGTTTGGCCTCATTGAGGGGCAGTATTTCAATATGAGTAGGAAAATGAGAGTACCCCTAAACATTTTTAAGGGAAAAAAGCACTGGGTAGAATTATAGAGTATCTCACAGCTGAGGACATTATGTGTAGGGCTGCCATGTGTCTGGGTTTCCACGGACACGTCCAGAAATTGGACTTTCAAAATGGCGTCCAGGTGGACATATGGCAACTAGGGCGATTTTTAAAGAAAAATGCTTTTAAAAGCCCAAAGACTTAACAACTTGCCTGGCTGGCTTAGTCTCCCAACCCTGACAGAGATAATAATAACTATAATTTACTGCTTCAATGGTTACCAACCACACTTTACCACTTTTGTAACAACATCATATTCTACAGTGCTCTGAACATTGTAGTGGCTTGGTTCCCCCACCCTTTGGTCATGTAATCTTCTTAACAAATTCTAATGCTATTCTCCCCTAGTGTGCATAAAAGAAGACAAAAACAGTATTAGAACAACCACTGAAAAAGCTATAATATACTTAGTGCTACCTTGCTTCAGTAGTCATGTGGAACAATAGTAATTCAGGGCAGTATACATAGGCTTGATGGTCTTCACCTCAATACTGTGTAAATAGGAAATGAGTGTTCAGGCAAATAAAGTAGTTATAGCAAGCAGATAGATTGGAGAGCTGGGAGAAAGCCGATGTACTAAAGTTCCTGTCAGTGCATGGTCTCTCTCATGGGGAGAAGAAAATGAAAATTCAGATTATATGCCAGTTGCCTTGTGGTGCTAACTGTGAGGTCTACAGCTTTAGCTCTTGATTGCCAAGCCTGTGAACTGAATTAAATCAGAAATACTGAGATAAAACTGAGTATCATTTTGAGCTCAAATATACAAAGAGTTTTAATGGTATATATGGATAGCAGTGATCATTCTAAAAACATTACTGAATGATATTAATACACCAAGAAATCTATTGTTTCTTTTTGTTTTCAGTGCTAGCTAAACTCCTGTAAACAACTGGGTTGTGTTGAAAGCAACTGCTATTTTTTCTGAAAGTTCCATATGAGGTGCCATGTGACACCCATTTAACTAGCGATTTGCCTTATCCTTCGTTGTTGTTTTTTGACCTTGGATAAGTGACAGACATTTTTTGATTTAGTCAAAATGCTTGAATGCATCCTTGCCCAGAAAGACCTACTGGTAAATGTTACCTCATTGCTTCAGGAATATTGCTTAGTACTCTGTGGATGGAGAGGCCATTTGCTAATACTTAATGGGCAGAAACTATTCCATAAATCACCTCTTCAGTTGCAACCCACTTGAAAACGGCAGGAACTTTAAACATTGCTAATCCTCAAATAGATTTGTATAGCTCAAATTGCTTATATTACTCCTTATTGGACGTGTTCAAATTATACAATGTTCTTTAAGCAGTAAACATATTTTCTTAATAAATAACTTTTTAAAAGAATGCAGTCTCAATAAAAAAAACCAAACCCTGAAACTCTGTCTAGAGAAGATAAGAATACTGTTGGTGGGTGGTTTGTTTGCCTGGGTGGGTGGGGTTTAATCTCTTTTGGGTGGAGTTTCACTCCCTCTGTAGTAAGGGTGACTATCCTCTTTTGGCCTGAAACCATATTCACCTTCGGCCAACCCTCTGAAGACTACATTTTAGAGATGGGTGTGACTGCCCACGGGACACAGGCATACACAGGCAGCCCTGCTCCTCAGATGATTCATGAAAGTTACCTGACAAGGGCATGGGTTATAGCACCTGTCCACTCATCAAACAATCAGTCTGATTCTTGGAAAGGGGAAGTTTCCCAGCCCTGTGTCTGTTTCCCATCCCCTTTTGCTGCCACAGCCAAATTTGGGATCTTGGCAGCTGCCCCTGCCTTAAAGGATCAAATTGTCCAGTTTGGTGGGTGCCTGTAGATCCAGCTTTTCCATGGGAGCCTCAGTGGCACATAATGCCTTTTCTATCAAGCTAAGGCTGGTGAAGCATCTGTGACCCTTATTGGACAGGGGTAGTGTGGCCGTGCTTTGGTGACATCCAGATAAGGCTATTCTAATGTGTCATTGACTGCAAATATGTTGCTTTGGTATTCTTGGGAAACTAGTAGACTGCTGATTAGGCTCACTGATGAAAACTTCACTCTTAAATGCTTACACAGTTATAAAGCCCAAAACAGATTGGCCTGTTCCAATAGGAGTTGGTTATCCGAAAGGTTCTGCTGTCTGAATTGAGGTGGGTAGTAACTGGGAAGGTGGCCTTCTCTGGTGTGGCATCCTGCTTATTTTTATTTTATTTATGCATTACAGTTTATATTCCGTTTTATTGTAAGCAAACAACAACAATAGAATAGAATGTTCTCCTCAGGGAGGCTTATTAGGCACCTATTTTACTGACTTTTTTATCCGGCCAAAGGCTCTTTTACTTTCCCAAGCTTTTAATTTGTGGTTTTGATTACATTGACATCTGTTTTATTCTGTTGTTTGTTTATTTGTATTGTTTGTTGTATTATTTTGTATCCTGCCCTGAAAATGAATATTTCACCACCACAACACTTCCTTTTAGAATATATGGGCACCTTGAACTTTTATGCATCTTTGATTTTATAGATCATCCTCATTTTGTATACAGTATATTCTCTGTGCTACTAGTGAGTATTTGAACAATAGTAAGTTTTCCTTGTTGTGGAGCTCGGGACAAGTTAGAAGTACAGTCAGCCTGCAGCTTTATTTTAAGTCATGCTTTCAAACTGGAGTGCAATAATTATATGTCTGAAGTTTATTTAACCTATTTATCTTGCACTCTCTCAACAAGGCTTTACATCTGCTGTGTCAAATGGAACTAAGGCTGCTCTCAAACTGGAAATGAGCTTGTATTGGAGAACCCTGTTGCCTTCAATATTATTCAACTCCCATGTTAAAATATAAAATATGTAGGTCATCTTAGATTATGATATTCTGCCCATACTCTGTAAGGTCATCTAATTACACATAATGGGTTGGATCCAGAGTTGTGCTTTGCAGAGTTTTGCTCATGTTGGAGGAAGGACTAGGGAGGTGATTTGACCTTACCAGCACCTCCAGAAAAGTTGCTATGGAGGGTTGGGACCTTCTGGAACAGCATGAAAAAAAGCACAGTATGCTTTTTGCGAGATAATCCATTGTCAAGCTTCATAACAGATGATAATACACCAAAACAAAACAAAATCTCCCACCCTAACTTCCTTAGTCAGCACAGGCCTGTTAAATGGCACCACAAATATTCTTGTTTTGCTCCCTACAATGAATCAAATAATCAGAATGAATGAATGGAATGTTTGTCCTGTCTGCATTTACGTACTTCCAATTCTGTGTTGATCTGATTCTGAATAAATCGCAAGAAAGGGGCCGCAAAATCAGCTTTGTTTGTTTTAACAACACCGCTGGCTACATTTCAGTTAAACATAAGGCACAACCCAGTAGCCCTTGTACTTCTGACTGGTGACAACTACCAGAATGCCCTTCCCCTTTGCTATGGCAATACAAGTCCAACTGGCAATTGGAGCAAAATCTTTTGGACAGCATTTATGGAAGCAAGCTTATTCTTTAGCCATTATTTGTCCCAAAATGGCTCTGTCCTTGTCATAGTTTACTTCCTGGGAAAGGATGTAAACCTTTTACCAAGCCTTGTACCTCTGTCTTTTTAACTGAGTGTCCTTCCTCTTGCTACTGCAGTGAGAGGATAGCTATAAATTACCAGGTCCCCTTCAGTGTGCTACACTGTCATCTGATATGGATGACTTTCCTCACTGGGTCTTATAACTGAGGTATCTAAAGTCAACGAAGGCTGCACTCTGCTTAAATATTGTTATATGTAAGTTTATTGTGTATTAATTAGAGGCTTAGCCTAGGATAGCTTTAATCAGGGGTGCTAGGTTGAGAGTAAGTGGAATGATTCAGGCACTTATTTAATCTTACATACCAGAATGGTTCTTACCTACCTTGCTTTTTTTTAAAGGCTAAGCTGACATATAAAGTAGCTTTTGTATTTGTGTGAATAAAGTGAAGCTTTAGTTTCAAACGGTTCTGTGTTACAAGCCTGCCCATAATGTTACCTGCTGATTGCCGCCAGTGCGGAAAGCAAAGCTTGTTGCATAGAGGCATAAACAAAAACTTTCAAGATGATTTACATAGCACTTTGCTTTTGCTAGATTATTTAATTTTTCTACTCTTTAATCATTTTTGCTACTAAAAGCATAGTTAGCACAAATAAAATATCATGTTCCAGAGCAGTACATACAGGACCACTTCAGTAATTATACTTTGTATTTACTTACCTCACTTCCCTTGGGGAATTTTGGATGCCTCTAAGTATGTCAATTTAACCTTACTAATTACTGAGATTATATAGAACAACGTGTCATTTTGAAGCACTTAGGTTGCTACCCAAGTATTGTGCCAGAATGAAAGCTTGGAAATGAAAAATGAAACCAAATAAGAGTGCATATCCCTATTTTCCCTTACCACAGTAATTATGGTGAAACGCTCTGTGTTCTGGGCAATGCAGACTATTATGCTTTTATAATTCAGACAAACCTGTTTTTGTTGGTGACGATAGATAAGGGAGAGTGGGTGAGGGAAAGTCTTGATTAATCCCGAATGCTGTCATTCCAGGCTTCTACCATGCTCAGCAGAATTTTTTCCATGGAATTTCTCAGATTGTATGATCTCACCCAGTTTATTTATGAGAGTTGTGTCTTCCTCACTGAAGGTCAAAACATGGCTTAAAGTTAAGGGAAGCCACCCATGAACTTCACAGCTGAGTGGAAATGAATCATATAATTATAGAACTATAGAGTTGGAAGGCCTCGAGAGTCATCTAGTCCAACTCCTGCAATGCGGTCTTTCATCCAATTTGAAACCATACTGGACCCGGCGTAGGTTTGCAAATGTGCTAGCGTTTTATTACTGCACCAGTAGGAGGGGTTTCAGTTTCTCATATTCAAGTCCACCATTCTTGCCACAGCACCCTACGGGCTTTCCCATGCGAGATGTGGTATCATGGCAATTGTGTCATGTGTGCTTGTTTTTTCTTTCTTTAGTCATGGGGAAGGCAAATACTTTTGTTCTTTTTTTGTTCTGGGAGGAAATTTGCCTACAGCAGCGTCCATCCAGAGGCAAACAGCAGCCATGGTCTGGACAACAATCACAACAACAAAAACACACCACAAAACTCTCTGATTTAGCTAAAAAATTGTTATTTCTCACTTTTACTTTATATATATTTCATTACTCAATGAGCATAATTGATACAAAGAAATCAATTAAGATTGCAAAAGCAAGAAGAGAATCATTTGCAGACATTCTGAAACGTTTTATTTATTGCCTATGTTGTGTTGTAGTTATGCATTTTTTTCATGTTGTAAGCTGCCTTGAACATGGTTCAAACTCTGGAAAGGCAGCATTCACATAAAATTATGTATGGATGCATGAATGTATGTAGAGTGGTACCTCGGGTTACAGACGCTTCAGGTTATGTGATTTTGGGTTGCGCACCACGCCAAACCTGAAAGTACTGGAACAGGTTACTTCCGGGTTTTGGCGTTCGCGCATGCACAGAAATGCTAAATCGCGCTTTGCATGTGCACAGAAGTGCTGAATCGTGACCTGTGCATGCACAGAGGTGGCGCTGCAGGTTGCGAACATTGAGGGTTGTAAACGTGCCTCCCGCATGGATCATGTTCACAACCCAAGGTTCCACTGTATGTACAAATCCACTGGGTGAAAGCTTTCAACAACTTGACCTGACACATGCATCAGATGAATTTGATTGCCTACATGACAATATAAAATAAAGTAGAAAAAAATAAAATACTGTGTCTTCCCACTGCTTGTAGTTTGTAGCTGCTTAAAATAATGCACAACATTTTTATCTGCCATAGATATCTGTTGCACTGTGTTTTGCAAAGTGTCCGTTCCAGACAGCAGGATCTGTAATCCATATGTTTCCATCCATTTACAAATTCTCTGTATTTTGTTTGGCTGTTAATAATGAACTCTGTTAATAATACACTGGATTTATGGTTTTTGCTTTTGTTTTTGTTACTGGGCACTTTCCAATGACAGTTTTTCCAACTTAGAAGTAAAAAAAGATAAAATCTGATGCAGTGATGAATAGTTTCAAAAGGTTCAGTGATACAACTTTGGAACTGTTACCATTGGCTTTCGTACACCCTGTAGTTTAGCATACATTTTATGTATGTATGTATGTGCCATGGCTTGTGAGAGATGTGCTGTAAGAAGAGAGTTGACAGCTATTTTGGCTTCGCAGACTTACGCAAAACATTCTCATGATGCCTACCCATTTCTTTTTAAATTCCAAACTGCTTCTTATATGTAATTTAAGTGGAAATTGCTGCCAGTAATTAGTTTCCTGTGGAAGTCTATGATAGGGACAGGACTAATGTGACTTGCTGTAAGACTAGAGGATTTCCCCCAATTAGCAATAAAATGAACTAATTTTCTTTGTTCTTCATTCCTCCGTCACCCTTTCTCATTTTACCACATTTACCAATGAATTATAGAAGGGTATATCTTTCTCTCTCTTTTGCCTTGTAACAGATCATGAGCATGTAGTCAAAGAATAGCTACTGTAGCCTGTGCTTTGCTAACAGAAGATTTTGTATTCATACTGCATCCACTATTCCTATCGCAAACTCTGATGTACCTTAGGCTGGTATATCAAGAAAATGCTTATGTTCTTATGTTATGATGGAGCGATGTTGTTGTTTTGTTTTTCAAATCACACTTTGTATATGCTTGATACAGATTTAGACTGCAGACCTATGCACCCTTACCTGGAAGCAAGCCCCACAGACTACAGTAGAACTTATGAATAAATGCTAGGAGGAAAGGAATGTAGCTAGGCAGAGATGGGCTCAGGATGATGGATTGCTGTGGAGCAACCTCCTAGGGCTGGTATAGCTTGGTGTTGTCTATCTGATCCCCTGGGCTTTCCCAGCTGGTCACCTACCTGGGACTTGGGAAGTTAGATATAAGGTGGAAGCTTTAATGCTCCCTCTTCTCATCCTCATATAAGATGTAAACTTTTGGGGTGGGAACTATTACTGATTTAAGCAGGCAGCTTTTGGGTAGTTACTAGGGAGCACGTTGATGTTATTATGTTCATTCAGATTAGTGGCTTATTTGGAGTATGAATAAAGATTCTGGCCTTGGTTCAGTTTAGTTGTCATGGCAAATAAATATTTATGGTGTGCTGCGTATCATGTGAACTCGTTTAGCAATGTACACTTGTTCTGTATCAGGCAAAGCTTGAAGGTTGCCGCTTTGTCAGATCCCTGAAGTACCTTTGTTAAGCAGCAGCTCTCTCAGCAGTAGGCTTGAAAGAAAAGAGAGCTCTGAGCCTTTGACAGTGGAGGTGTGGTTTAATTGTTTGACAGCTTTCTGTGTGTTTGTAAAGTTCCAGCAGGGGTTGCTCAGCTTGTGTCCCCTAGGACTGATCTCTCAGAATTGCAAAAAGCTTCTCTGTAAAAGATGAAACAATAAGCTTGTTTAGAGCAGGGCTGTGCTGCCAAAGGAAGTTGTCAAACATTAGCTCTGCAGCTGCACCTACAGCAGCCAAATTATTGCACTGACATGATGACAGCTCTTCATGGCTGCTTCGTGGGGAGGACACAGAGGGGGATCAGAGGTACGCATATAGCTGGACAGCATGGATCACAGTCAGCAGTCATAAGTTATTGTTAGCACTGTCTTTCCAGCAGGGCGGTAAACAGGTTTATGAACATCCTGCTCTGCTGCATTTAAAGTAGACAAACAAGCCCTTAGCTTTGTATGCCATACACTATAAAACCAAATTTCAAGAAGAAAGACTGAGAAGATTTGGAAAATCTTAGTAATTACCAGCAGGTGGTCAGGCACCAGATCCAGTATGATAATTCAGCGCTTTTTGTGTGTGTGTGTGTGTGTGTGTGTGTGTGTCTAAGAAAATGTTTAGGGGTACTCTCATTTTCCTACTCATATTGAAATACTGCCCCTCAATAAGGCTAAACTAAGATTCACAAAATGTTTAGGGGCATGTGTATGCCAGTGTCCCCCCAGAAAAAAGCACTGATAACTTATGTGAGAGGGGGGAGAATAAATGTGTCCCTGATAAATTTCAGGGGAATGTTGCAGTGTTGGTGGGTTGGGCTTTGTATCTGTCTTGATAACAAGGCAGAAGGAAAATTCTTCAGGGATATGATTCGCTCCCAATCAGTATTTCTCTCCTTCCTCTTACAAGCAGCTCACCTTTGCTTTGCTCCTTTTTTCTGTCATGTTTACTTACCTTTCTTCACTATATTTACTTTTTTTCTTCAGATCTCTTCTTGGCTCCACTGATAGCAGTTTCCCTTAGTCTCCTTTCCTTTCCTTTCCTTTCCTTTCCTTTTTTTTAATAGAAAAAGACAAAAAAAAATTGCCTCAGATTCCCTATGTTCTTTTCCCCTACTCTTTTGGTTTCTCTGTCTGTCTATCTGTCTGTCTGTCTGTCTGTCTTGTCTGTCTCTCTCTCTCTCTCTCTCTCTCACACACACACACACACACACACACACACACGGCTTGGCGGTGGTTGTTTTTTTGCCTGTTCTGTTGGGCAAGAAAGAGAGGAAGAAGCATTTGAACCTTTAAAGCAGGGGTAGGCAACCTAAGGCCTGTAGGCCACATGCGGCCCAATCGCCTTCTCAATCCGGCCCCCAGACGGTCTGGGAATCAGCATGTTTTTACATGAGTAGAATGTGTCCTTTTATTTAAAATGCATCTCTGGGTTATTTGTGGGGCATAGGAATTCGTTCATTTTTTCCCCTTCAAAATATAGTCCAGCCCACCACATGGTCTGAGGGACGGTGGACCAGCCCAAGGCTGAAAAAGGTTGCTGACCCCTGTTTTAAAGGAATAGGAAAAGGGAAGCTCCTTTGCCCTGTCTATGGCCTCACCAGTCACTCCGGCGTTCTATTTTTCTCAGTCCCACAGCCTCAGGGTTTGTCGCTCACAGTCTTCTGAGCTCCCTTTTCCCTTCTAATATACATAATTCTATCTGTTGTCTTCCTGGCCTACATGGTCTAAGCCCTTTACCAGCATGATGGAAGTCCAGCAGGTCCAGTTATTCATGGGCCCCACTGTCCCTGAGAAGTCTTCCATGGCTAAACAGAAGAAGAAAAATGTTGATCAAGTCTTGGAGACAGCAACAGCACACCAGCATGCTAGGAGAAGCCAGACAAAGGGAGGCTGAATCAAGCAGAAGGCATCTGTTAGGGGAAAGGGTAAGACATTGCCAACCCTCCCCTGGCCACTTGCGGCCCTCCTCTTCTCCAGAGGCTTTCCTTTCATTTTCTCCAGCTCAAGGGATGATTTAAGTTCACAGATCCCTCCCAGCTTTTTCTCTCTCTTTCATCCTCGGATGAGGATGGTTTTATGGCAGAGGTTTTCAGTCTTTTCGAGTCCACAGCTCCCTTGACTAACATTCTTTTTGTGGCACCCCTGTGGCGCTCAGAAACCCAGTTATGTCACCCTTGCCTGCAGCGCTGGCAGCCTCTCACCCTTTTTAGAATACCCTCCCTTGTGGAATGTTCCCTCAGCCTCCACTCCTCTCCTTTCCTTTCCTTTCCTTTCCTTTCCTCTCCTCTCCTCTCCTCTCCTCTCCTCTCCTCTCCTCTCCTCTCCTTGGGAATCCTCCAGGAAGCCACCGCAGCCACCCCTGGTCTCTGAGCTGCTCTCCACCCCCACCCCAAAGACAAGTCCACCCCTCAGCCAGCCCCTGCTCATACCTTGCATGCTCAATTGAATAAAACAGTCTGTCCTGCACCAACTCTCAGCTGAAGTCTTGCCCCGTTTTACAAGCTCCTTCACCTGCTCAGCCAAGGCCCGCTGGCAAGAAATTTATGAGCTCACAGGCAGCACCTAAAATACTCTCCCTCTCAGCTCAAGGCAATCTTTATTATGCAAAGTCTTAGCTACCTTGTAACTAAGGTAGAAACCAAAAGGGTGGGGCTCCCCCTGAAGAGCTGTTTCCCCGCTGCTGCTGAAGTTGTGGCAAGACTAAAGGAATCACAACCTTCCATGTCTAGAGTTCCAGTTCCTGCTCTCTTGAAGGTTACCAAGGCTGAATGGGGTTCACCTTTCCAAACTTCTTGCAAAAGGACTTTCCCCCTCTGTTGCTTCTCTCAGACAAACCGTAATCCTACACCAAAAGCTACTGGGGCCATCCCAGTAGCCTATGATGGCTCAGACTTAGCAGTTATGCTACGCTGACCCAATGCTGTTAGCATAAGCTTAACTTAGGGGTTTCCAGTTTGGGCACAGTTTTAATAAAGCCTTGAATAAATCTACCTTTTAATCCATCGTGGGTCGTCCCCATGCTTTATTCTGTCCCCTTGTCAAACATTACAATTTCCTTTGCTTATCTGGAGATAAGGGCTGGCGATATATAGGTGATTGAGTCAGGCTTGAAAGATTCACTTAGGGGGAGCAAATGTTGCTGTTTTTCACTATGTTTGGTAGGAGTTGCTTGTGTTATGCCCTGGAAATTCTCTGCCAAAAATTTATTCATTCTCCTGATATGAAATGTACATTTGAGGTAAATCAATCTCTGTGTTCAGTCCTCAAATGTATGATAATTTTTAAAAGAGCTAAACCCTTTTCTAGTCTCCCTAGAAACCAGTATAAAAAGGCATTGGACAGGGAACTTCTAATATTTTATTTAAAGTGGACATTTATGACTGGCCATTGACCTTGAGATTCCATTAGAGATAATGAAGGGCAGCATTTGAGGTTTCTTTCACAGCATGCAGCAAATGATGCATACCCCCAGATCATAGGACATTTCCTGTTCCATGCTGTGCAAGAATGGTGCATAACAGCATTTGCATTAGTTGCTTGAACAAAATAAGATGAAACAGCAGTTTTAGTGCAAAAGAACAGTTTTTTTTCTTTTTGAGTGTCGGAAACAACAGTTGATATTAGCAGCTGCTAACTAGTCATCAGTACTGCCTAAATATCTCCAGTCTTTTAAAATGGTAGATTTTAGTAGCTGCTAACTAGCTGTTAACTATTTAACCCTCTCCATTTTTTAAAACGTTAAATATTTTCCCAATGTATGTAAACGTAAGAGCAACATTGTGCCTTTAACTCTTGTGAAAAGAATGGAAAGATGTTTGCAAATGCACCACAGAGTAAGTCTCTTGGCTTCTAATATATTTTGAACTCCAGCACTTATTCATCAGGGAATATTTTCAAAGAATAAGCAGGTAAATCTGTTTTGTTATTTCCATACAAGGCTAAGATTGGTGACTCTGAAGCTTATTGTAATCTCAGTGTATTCTTTCCTGATGAATTACCAACATAGTCCAAAACGTATTGGACCGGAGAATCTATTCTGAAGCACCATTGTTTAATTTGAGACCTCACTCTTGAAGCCCTGCATTTGTCCAAAGTTTTCTCAGTTTCTTAATTGGACAGAAATAGGGTCTAAGAACCATCTGCAGCCATTTCTCAGGATGAGAGGCATATGTTGTCAGACAGCAAACGTGGAACAGTAAGAGCCAAAGTAAATGTGTGCCCAGGTGCTACCACCCCCTCTGCCTCCCAATCTAGGACAAGAACCAGAGGGGACAGAATTGTCAGGAGACCAGGTTCTCAGCTGTCTGCACACCTTCCCTGGGAGCTGGCTCATTCATGATAAGAATGTATGGGTTTGGGGTCAAATAAGGCCACAACTTTTATTGATTACAGATGCAATGGGTTTGGCAAAACCACTAGCAATCCCTCAGAGGGGGTTGCTCCTGAGGCAAGGAGGACCTATGACATATATCAAGTAGGATTACTTCCTGTGGGAGCCCCACCCTGAGGAGTGCTGTGGCCCTATTCCCCAACTGGACATCTGGACAGAAGACCTCCTCCTGGATTCCTTTAATGGGATACCCCGTTTTGTTGGAGAGGCAGGCAGAGGCTTATAACCTCCTCTTCACCGAGACTAAGGCCAACCCAAAGCCTAAACTGCCAAAGTTGTAACAACTGATTTGAGGTAGGCAAAAACCCCAGACAGAGCCAATTGGTCTGAAGGACAATTTCCTGCCTGGCCCCAACATTTGGTGACCAACATTTGTGCAAGTTCATTAACATAACAGGAACAAAAAAAAAACATGAAGAAAGTGGGTGGGTGACCTGACAAGGAACTGCCCTGGAGGAGGATGCCAGGCCTCTTTAAATGCTCGAGGTGCAGACCCAAGTGGAGCCTAAAGGCCCCCCTGAGGAGTGTACGTCCCTGGAGTTGCCTGCCATTGGCAAAATAAGCAGGTGGCTATGATCTAGTTCCCTAGCTGGTTAGGAAGCCCAATAAGGATTCCCACTGGCTGAAGGAAGTCGGTGCTATCCTTGCCAGGGGAGTGTTCTGGGTAGTGACGACCAGCCTGCAACGCTGCTGTCCCTTGAGATAGGTAAGCAGACTTACAGTAAGCATGACATTTAAGTGCACTACTCTTCTCTCTTTTCTAAACAAAAAACCACAAGTGGGGTTGGATAGAATCCGGATTGCTACCAGGAACACTCCATTTTCCTACCAAAACTCACCCCCCAAAATGGCTTTTTGTCTCTAAAATCTGCACAGGGCTGCTGTAAGTAGTGATTCTGGGTAGATGAATAGCATGGTTGAAAGGACCGATTTGGATCCCCCCACAACACACACACACAGTGGATTTGCGTAACATTAAGGGCGCTCACCACTTCCCTTAACACCTAGCTTGGCCCTTACTATACTCATGTGAAGAAGTGTCTGCACTACAGGAACTTAGGTCCTCTGTAGATGTCAAGATCCTACCTTTAACCCTACCTTCAGAGAATATAGTAATGGCCTTGTTGAATTCTGTGAGGCAATTCCAGCAAGGTGAGTGTTTGACACAGATGCTTTAAGCATTCTCACTATTCTTTTTTTTTTTATTGAGCAGGTTTAATTTTGCCAAACAGCAGCATTTCTTTATTTTTTTACTGTAACTCAAATGACAGCTTACTACGGAGCTATTTTTTATTTTGAGTCTGAAAAATCTATACAGTGTGTGTGTGTGTATATAATTCAATAATCCTGCTCCAATTCAATAGAGAAATGGCATACACAATTTCCCTTTGCCAGAGTGTTATGAGAGAACTCGGTCAAATAAGGAAATGAAAACCAGATTTAACTTTGGGGGGGTGGGGGTGGGGGGACCAAGCAGTTGTGTTTGACTTGAAACCCTTCAGAAATATACTAAAACAAGACATTAAAATGACATGTGCAAATGCTTTTATTCTATAGCTCTATCCTTAGTCATAACCTTGGTTTACCTGTGCTACCTTAGCCTGTGTATTTTATATGAACAACATTTCAATAATACAGATGAAAAGCTACAGAACATGCTTGGAGAAGCAAGGCTACATTATTTTCTACCATATATAAATGCTTACCTGTCATCCTGTGGAAGGTCATTTTTAAAAACATTCCTTAGAGCACAGCTGGCATTGGCAGGACACTGAAATACAGTATTTTATATGTTTGAAGGAATTCAACTAAAAACAATTCAGATCTTCCAGGGGCTTCTTTGGGAGCATGGAATAGTTTTGGTCTAACCCTATAGACATTATTGTAGCATCTTATAGATTTTGCCACCTTTTTCTTACAAAATGCAACTCCTTCTGAGTAGTATTTGGAAGCACACACACAGCTATATATGCTATATTTCTTTAAAATGTATTCTTGTTAAATTAATAACCTTTCATATAAATGCCAGTGTGATTTACAAGCATAAAATAAAAAAATTAAATTGGTTAACAATAATAAAAATAAACATAATGCAGAAAACTCCCTCCCTTTCCATTCAGATGAAAATGCTTGTCAAAACGGGAACATATTTAATTGTTTTCAGAAACTACAAGTATTGGGATGCTGTTCCACAAAACAAGGCAGTCACACTGAAAGCCATGTACAAGTTGCTGTGAAGAAGAAGAAGAGGAGTTTGGATTTCATATCCCGCCTTTCACTCCCTTTTAAGGAGTCTCAAAGCGGCTAACATTCTCCTTTCCCTTCCTCCCCCACAACAAACACTCTGTGAGGTGAGTGGGGCTGAGAGACTCCAAAGAAATGTGACTGGCCCAAGGTCACCCAGCAGATGCATGTGGAGGAGCGGAGACGCGAACCCGGTTCCCCAGATTACGAGACTACCACTCTTAACCACTACACCACGCTGGCTCTCAGCAGTCTGCTACTGTGTTAAGGACTTAAATAAGAGATTCTTTAGCAGCAATGTAACATACTGCGGCAGTATAAAAATTACAAGCTGGAAATGGAAAGGTTAAAGCAGTTGCATGCTTAATTTGTGGATTTCTCATTAACTCGTTTGTTATACTGGTTATGAGTAATCAGTGTTGTCCTTTTTGGTGACATTAATCATATAAATTCTCTAATTGTGTACTAACACAAAGTTTCTTTTAATGCTGGTTGATATAATTATTTTGAAGATTATTGTCACTGCTGGTTCAGTAAGAAATCAGATGATCAACTTTGAAAATATTTAACATAGTTCACTAGCAAAGAAACTCAGTTTCTCAATGGTAGATAAGTAGTTTAATCTGATATGTGGAAAGTGCCCAGTGAGCACTATGGCCTGCATACAAAGAACAGTGAAAATAGTTCCATACAACTAAAGAGGGTTTTGGATTTCTCTCCTTAACTGCAGTCCAGAATGCCACTGAGGACCCCACTTTTGAAATTGGGTGGACTTTCAAAAATCTGTTTGTGATGTAACATTGGGGCATACAGTTGAACAAAAAAGTAAAATTAAAAAATCCTGATTATGACCAAGTCTCTAAAGTAGCTCTTTAGTTCTTGGAAAATTCATAAAACTGAACAAACACTCACTTACCTAATTTCCTTCTCTTACCCACACATTAGTATGGGGTGGGAGGCA